GTCTTGTGAATAACCATCCTTGTTTTGTATTGTATGATTGTGGATCAACTGACTCTTTTATATCAATTTAATGTTTGGAGCGTCTTGGTTTAAAAGCAGTTACTTTATCTCCTCATATGGTGGTAACTACCGCCATGAATGATTTTGTAGAAACACCATAGATTTGTGATAATTGTTCGCTATCGATGAATGAGAGTTTTTCAGATTGATCTCATATGCTTACTACTTAAGAAAGTTGATGTGGTTCTAGGGATGAATTGGCTTTTCGGCTAATTTGGTGTTTATTGGATGTGAGGAAAAAATAATTATCATCCCATCTGAGGAAGTTAATTTGAAGGATGTGCTGACCACTATCTTGGAAGGTATGGTTGGTATGGTAAATTATTTGTGTGAGAAAGAAAAGTCAGTTCTCTTGGTTCTCACCAATGAATCAAGTGAAAATTTGAAAGTTGTGAAAATTCTTGTAGTTTGTGAATTTCTAGAAGTTTTCCTCGAGAATGTCACTTCTCTTCCTCCAAAAAGAGAAGTGGAATTCTCCATCGATCTAATCGAATCAACCCAGTGAGAGGCAATGGTAGAAATATTCTATTAGTTGCATAGGGCAGCCAACATGTTGGCTTTCAACAATATAGGAAAATGTGACGTTTTGGCCTCAGATGGTTTGAGAAGAGAAAAAAAGGTTCTTCAAAGCGTTTGGAATTTACTCTTCTTGAGAGGGATAACCATCACATGGAGCTTAGGGAAATGTATAAGCTTTTGAAGGATGGTGATGAAGAGAAGAAGAAGTATGGCTTACTTTTTGCTATATATATGAGTGTGAAAGACCCGTTGAGTAAACTTTAAATTTCATTAGTAATAAGTTTTCATATTAAATATGGTAGTAGGAAGATTAAGAGCCAATGTAATTTGGAAGGACAAAAGTTAGGAAGTTATGATAGTTTTATTAGTAGCAGTTATCTTTTGGAATTGTAAAAGTCATTAGGTCTATATAAGGACCAAGAGTGTATTTTAATTTAATAAGGCAATATAGAAAGGTTTGTCTTTTTCTCAAAATAAATCACATAACGAAGTCTGCTTCTTTATATCAATTTGGCATCAGAGCTCATGGCAAACATAATGAATCAAATGTCGTTGCCACGGCTAACGAAGTCAAATTATGAAAACTGGAGTATCCAAATGAAATCTCTTCTTGGATCTCTAGACGCGTGGGATGTGACCCATGAAGGGTTTAAAGAACCAACAGAAGTTGGGGGATATACGGCAGCTCAAACGAAGGCGTTGAAAGAGACGTGATCGAAAGACAAAACGGCATTATACATGTTGTTCAGGGCTGTAGATAAATCAGGCTTCGAAAAAATTGCTGGTTCGACTACGTCGAAACAAGCGTGGGACACGTTAGAAAGAGTGTTCAAAGGAGTAGATCGAGTGAAGCAAGTTCGACTCCAAACTCTTCGTGGCGAATTGGAGTGGATACAGATGAAGGATACAAAAATTGTATCTGACTACATCACACGTGTGCAAAAGGTGGTGAATCAACTCACCAGAAATGGAGAGACAGTAACTGATGCACGAGTTGTTGAAAAGATCTTGAGATCTTTAACAGATAAGTTTGAGAATATTGTGTGTGCAATAGAAGAGTCGAAGGACCTTTCGATGCTCTCAGTCGAAGAGCTCGCTGGTTCTCTCGAAGCACATGAGCAACAAAAGATGAAAAATAAAGAAGAAGCAGTCGAAGAAGCAAATCAAACCAAGGAATCGAACAAAGACGAAAAGGTACTCTTTTCTCAAAACTTTCAAGGAAGAGGACATGGATGTGGAGGTCGTGACAGTGGTCGAAGTGGTAGAGGTAGCAACTTCGAAAGAGGACAATCGAGCCAACAAAATTGACGTGGTAGAGGACGTGGTCAAAGAGGTGGTCGTTCGGATCATTCCAACTTCGAATGCTACAAGTGTGGGAAGTATGGCCATTACGCGAAGGATTGCAACTCCTACAAATGTTACAACTGTGACAAAGTGAGACATCTCGCAAAAGACTGTCGAATCGAAAAGAAGATTGAAGAAACAACCAACCTAGCTTTGGAAGCTGAATCGAATGAAGGCTTTCTCCTGATGGCTCAAAACGAAATCAACATCAATAATGACAATGTTTGGTATCTTGACTCAGGAGCAAGTAATCACATGTGTGGTTACAAACACATGTTTAAAGATATGAAGAGAATTGAAGATGGTAATGTGTCTTTTGGAGATGCATCGAAAGTGAAGGTCGAAGGAAAGGGCACAATCAGTTACTTGCAGAAGGATGGCTTGATTGGATCAATCGAAGACGTTTACTATGTACCAGATCTCAAGACCAACATATTAAGTCTGGGACAACTTACAGAGAAAGGTGCTTCGATACTTATGAAAGATCGAACACTGCATTTGAAGGACAAAGTAGGACATCTGATTGCCCGTGTCGAAATGGAAAGAAATCGAATGTACAAACTGAACCTGAGGAACATTCGAGAGAAATGTCTGCAAATTGAAGTGCAAGACAAAGCGTCACTATGGAAAATGGAGAAGTATTTGGGCGAAGTTCAAGATTGTTCTTGGGCAGGGTCAATGAGCCCCTTACTTTTGCTCACAACACCGTGAAGGATGTGGAATTTTCACTAAGGGATATAAAGACAATGGAGAAGATTAAGGGGTAATTAAAGACAATGGAGTCATAGAATTCTCCTTGCATGAGAAATATATGTAGGCTTTTGAGATTGACTGCAGCGAGATGCATGAGAAAGTAAAGTTTCTTTATCTTGACATAAGGATTTAGAGGGAGAAGGTTCATGCCAAACAGAAATTCATAGACGGAAAGCTTGTTCCATGTGGTAAAAGTCCACTTTCGTATATTCCTTTTTCTTTGTCTTTAATTTGTATGAGGAAAGCATGTTGGTTTTCCTTTTTTTGAAAATCTCATGTATTAGCCTTTGCCCTTTATTATGTTAATTAATGAAGAACTTCTTTATGCTTTATCACTTATAGTTGCAAAATATCTATTTATTTTCTGCAACAATCATTTAGTCAGTTTTAATTTTAATGAATAAAACATGATGGAATTAATACATGTTTCTTACTGACCTTTTTTGGGGGTTGTTGTTCCCGATTTGTTGTGAATGTTTAGGGAACTTAGCATGGTCTCTAGGGATTGATCCTGGCCAAAGGTCTCAATCCTCTTTCTTGATCTCAAATGAAGACTTTGTTCGAAGCTGACATGAATGGCTAAATACTATTACTCTTGCCACACTAGATTGTCTAAATACTATTATAGGATTAGCCTTGTGCACCATATATGTGTTTGAGGTTTATGATGTCTTTGCGTGTGCATAACTTTCATGTTTGAGGTTTGATGTCTTTAGCTCGGTTGTGACTTTTACACTTGAGGTTTATGGATTCTTTTGATTCTCCTTTTCCTGTAACACTTCTTATGTGTTCTAGTTCTAGTGCCAACAGAGAAAGTTTGTGATTTACCATATCATTTATGCAAACAATAGTGCAAAATAAACCATGGCAAAAATCACATTTATTAAACTTGTGATGAAAAAGTTTACATTGTAAAGATTTTATATAAGAACTTGAAAATCAACATAAGGAAGCGACTTAGTTGTAATAGAGCTTTAGTTTAGTCTCATTTTATATTGTTATGATAGGTTCCTTGAGGAGATTTTTCTTGGTGTAAGCTCCATCAATTGTGTTGGTTTGCATGTGGTAAGGGTCTTCACAGTTTGATGTAAATTTTCTATTTTTGACATTCTTTCCCCTACATCAGCTCGACGGAGCATGAGGTCTCTTAGGTGGAATTACTTTGACATGAATTTCTTGTTATACTTGGAAATTGTGAGTCTGCTTGGCTTTAACATCAATGAGACAGAAAAAGCATCACTTTCATCAAGAAATGTCATATCCCAAATTTGTCATACACATTAATAAGGATTATCTGACTTATGCATCTCATTTTCTTCATGTGCATACTCTCTATTAGGTCATCTAACATTGCATACACTAACAACAAATGCTTGATACTTGGATCAATGGTCATGGTACCAGGGTTTTCACATAGCAATTAAGGGTTCATCCTTTTACAGGGTTTTGTTCAACTGGAGATGTAAAGATCGTTATTAGGGTTTTGTCCATCACAACGAGATCATCTGGTGAATCTACAAAGGCTTGATAGTACACCTTCTAAAGCTCATCTCCTCAATATTCTAGCTTCACTTAACATGTGTGATGCTCATTATTACTTACAATATAAGTTATCCCAAGATATCATCCAAGAGACCATGAGCTAGGCATAGAGAGTCTACAAAAATCATCTTGTGCTCATAATTATCACTTGATTAGAGTTAATTTCCCCAATCATGTGCTATTCAATAGGGTTTTTGTGAAGCTTGTTCATAACTGAATCGTGACATTCAAGAGGATCTCAATCATTGCTTGAGTTACAAGTTTTGTGTAAGATTTGATATACGTGGCAAGCTAGAGTCTTATATGGTTTAGGGCTTCTATACTACGAAAGTTGATTCAATGGAGGTTCTCGTTGATTAAAGACTTATGGTTGCATTATGCCAGTAATTATCAAATGAATCTCAAGTTTTAGGATCACTATGAAGGTCGTCTCAGTAGGGGTTCATTTGAAGTTTTCTACTATTTGATCAAGGCTTGATTCATCATTACTTGGATCATAAGTTAATTGTTTAGGACTTCATGCAAGATGGTAAGAAACACTTGGTGTATTAGTGGACTATTCAAAGTTGGAAGACACATTATTGAAAATTTTACTTTTGCCCAACTTTATCAAATTTTTTGGTGACTTTTCATCTTATATGGTACTTAGTAAAAGTTTACAAGGCATTCAAGATACAAATTCAGAAAGTTCAAATGAATGGAAATTTTTCTTTCATTATTTGACAAAGTCATGATACACTTTTTCAAATCACAAGCATCATTCAAGCCTCCTTTACAAGATCATGCACCATGTTCAGTACAAGTTCAAGACAACTCCATTACATGTTTATCGCAGGGCATTACAAAATCCACATAATATTGCCAATGCATCAAGTACTGCAAAAAGTGAATTACAAGATATTTCATACAAGGATCCATATGCTAACTTATCCTATTTTATGCCAAATATTAAACTCCAATTGTCTTCTTTGAAGCATGTCACCATCAATATCCAATCTGCACGATAAATCGACATCACAAAAGTCATAACCGAAGCAGCCCTAAAACAGCCCCTGCCTCAAAAGGAAACCGTTCACAATCATTAAATCGGTCCAAGCCTTTATCCAATTCACAACACTTGTCATCAACCAAACAGATAGTAACGGCCCTGTACATACACAGTTCACATTAATAAACAACAACAAAAAATAAAATAAAACAGTTACTCAGTTAGCAATCTATTTGTTTACACAACAAGCTTTTGAAACCGGTTCAGTGATCCAATTTAAAGGGCATCAAACAATTAAAAAGAACCAAAACGGAAAAATTGCTTCACAAAAATTGCCTCTCTCTCTCTCCATGCAACCACCACAACCTCACATTCACTTCTCTTTCTCTGCAACGCACGCCTCGAACCACTCTGCATCGCTCAATACAGAGTTTCAAAGCTCTCATAATACACAACCAACACACGTGACTTTGCACACAGGAGCAAGAAGAAAAAAGATGAAGAGGAAGAAGAGTTGAAGAATAAAGCGAAAGAGGAACAGGAAAGCACCTGAAATCGATTTATCGGACCCGCCTCTCACCGCCGTCACTATCGCCTTCGAGGTAGGTCGTACTTCACTCTTTGAGCTTCTTTTTTATACCATTACATAGATATTAATGGGTAGAATAGAAGCCCTATGCTTGCATGACCTGAAGCATGATATCACCATTTAATTTATCTTTAGAAAACTCAGGGTTTAGACTTGTTTCGTATTTTGAGAAAATGAATAAAAATCAATGGAAAAAGGTTAGATATGGACTTAAGGTGAGGAAACTAACAAAGTGGTATAAAGTTTTGTCGTTCCTGGACCGAACCACCGTGGGCGCCACCAGCACGATGGTGAAGCTTTTGAAAATATGAAACGGGAGATGGAGGGAAGAAGGAGATAAATATGACCTAAAATGTCCAAAACGTCATCGTTCCAGTCTCTTTCCACTATTTTACTTTTTTTTTTATTAATCAGAAAATGATATTGATGGAAATTGAGAAAACACGGTAGTATGTGTGTTGATGATTCACGTTGGGCTTCCTAGTGCTAGGCTTAATGTGTGCACCTTTTTGCATGATCCATGTACCTCCCTAGTTGGTTCTTTGATTTTCCACTTGTTTCTTGTTTTCTACAATCTAATTATTGATGATTCTTGGATGATTTTTTTGTTGATTTATATATGGATGATGATATGTCAGTACCTAATCCAATAATATCTTTTCTTGATTTTTTTCCCATTAGTTTTGGATTTAATTTGAAATAATATTAAAATATGATGGAAATTACATTTCTTGATACTTTTGTCGATTCTTCTTGTATGATTCAATGTTCTTGGCATGATGGTTGATTAGGAGGAAGGTCCTGGACATTAGAAATGTGATTAATTGTGTGCCTCTGTTTGTAATCATAAAAGTCCCATAAAAATGTTCAAAATGAAGTCCTTAATTCCTTGAATTCCATGTAGTTTTGCAAGTTGGTTTTGATTGATTATTTGTTTATTCTTTTGCCAATTATTTTGGGTGATAAACATGCTTAGGTTCTGATCTTTGTGATGAATTTTTTATCTTTGATTTGTGTTCACAAAATATTCAAATAAATGTTTGGATTTCTCTTTGAATTGTATGTGATTCTTGGGATTTTTTAGCATTGATTTGCATCTTAATCTTGTTCATATTTTTACCTCATCTCATGCATTATTACTAATTGTTTATTATTGTTTTGAGGTACACTTTTGAGGCCTCGGATCACCCACTTTGGATATTGTCTTTCTATTACATTTGTTGTACTTTTAATTATTTAAATTTCTTTGAACAATTGTGCTAAACAAAGTGAAGTGACATCCCCCGAAAGATGGGAAATAATGTACCCCTCCCTTAATGATGTAATAGCTTAGGATTTATTATTTTGTATGCTTGATTGATTGTATGAGATGCATGCTAACAAGATAAAAATTAAACAATTAGAAAATAATTTCAAAAACAAAGAAAAACAAAAGCTTGGTCCAACGCCAAGTTTATTTTCAAAAAACAATTAATTAAAGTTATTTTTCCCACCTCCCTCCTTTAGGTGTTCCTATGTATATCTTCCCTCATATTATCCATAAGCCGAGTTCTTAGGCATTCACAATCGACCTCCAATAATTCTTCATCGCTACTTCACCATCATAAACCAACTAAGCAAGCCTTGTATGTCTTTGTCCATAGCTCCCTCCACGCATTTCATCATTCATCTTCATAAAACACTAAAACTTAAACCTTGGTACTTGTGCCAAGTGATCTTTTTCAAAACTATTTTCTCAACAAACTTGGAATGGTTAGGCGAAGGCCTTCTCCTATCCTAAGTTGTTTGACACTACCTGCAGAGGTTACTATCTAACCACTTATCGTCCAAGATTAACATACTTCCTTAATAACAAGCAATGTCCTCCCCGTATTGGACTAAAAAGAGGGTTGAGTGCAGACTCATTCCTCTTTCAAGTGCTTGATTCTCACTTTAGAGTGTGTGGTCTAAGTACTTATCTTTCAGTACGAGGAACGTGACTATACTCACCACACATCTTTCAGAAGCAAATATTTTGGAGTAATAAAGAATTGAGTACTACCTGTAGAGGTTACTATTCAAGGACTTATCTCCATCCTAAAATCAATTCAACTAATCAAACGTGGCACATTGCCTTGAGGACGTAACTCAAAACCTTTCACAAAAGGGCGTGTGTTATTTCCATTATATTGTATACCAGATGCTAGGATATGAATGTTAACATCTCCCATAAAAAATACAAATAAATAATTATTTTCTAACCGAACTATGGAGTTTTGATTCCTTAGAGATACGTAGGCACGAAGTCTCACGACTGAGGCGAACTCAACTATTTACAACCTATTTCTCCCTATTATTAAACCCCTCTCCTCTAATAAAGCATTCATAACAACCATATTTCCTTAACAACATTCTTACACATAGACATGCGAAATGGTTCCCATTGAGTACAATGGATGTGAGGGGTGCTAGTACCTTCCCCTTATATAACTGGTTCCCTAACCCATCTCTTGGTCGCAAGACCATCTTATCTATTCCTTTTCGAGTTTTCTCGATATTTTTCCTTTCTTCGGAATAAATAAAGTTCGGTGGCAACTCTATTTTTTTGTGGCGCGATAGGAAAGTCTAACTCTCCCCATATCGCTTGTGCATTTTATTCGTTACGGAGGGGATAAGTCGTCCTATAGTCGACTTCTCTGATTTCAACAAAGATGACAACCTTGATATCATATGTGAGCCTAAAGGGTGTTTCTTCGGTAGTTAAATTTGTTATTATGTATGTCTAAAGGATATGTAATAACTCTTCCACCCAGTTGCTCTCGAACCCTTTAAGCCTTCTTTTCACTTCTTTCAATAAATCTCTATTTGTAATATATGTTGGTCTAGGAATGTTCCACCGACATGAAGTGGTGTTTGACTCCAAAATCTCCAAAGATTTTCTTTAAGTTTTTATATGTGAACATGTATTATTGCTAAAAGGTTTCTCTTAAAGAACTTTTGTATATTGATGGTCGTAATCTTTTCTAGGGTTTCCACTTCCATGTACTTAATGAAATATGAATTAATAACAAAGGGATTTCTTAATGCACCCTAAGTATTGCTAGCACGCCTCGTGAAAATATAATAATATCTTCATATTTTAGAGATGCATCTCCGGATGCATCTCAAACACACACAATTCATTTGTATTTGAGTCACGTCCCAATTTTATGACTATATTGATTTCGAAAATTCATTTTTGGAATATATTCGAAAATGCATTTCTGGAAACACTGAACAACAAATCACGTCCTTAGTCTCTACTAACTTGTGTGTGGATTTGATTAAAAAAAGACATTGAATGGATTAATCTACCTGCACCACCTTTAATGTGCGTACAAGTAACCACTATCTGACCTTTCACACTTATAACCACTCACGTATTTGATTCAATGGCATCAATAAATTAAATGCTTTTTACTTTAAATTGAATATGTTTTGTACAATAATTTAATAGTAGTAAGATTATTTATAAATCCACAAATGTGCAATGCACAAGTCAGTAGATTAATATCTTTTTCCATAATGTATTTTCGGAGTATTTTTTTACAAAATGAAGGTGTGATTCACTCACGCATGTATTTGACGTATTTTCAGTGCATCTGAAAATACATCTCCGAAATCTGAAGGGAATTTTTGAATTTTCATATGGTTCTTTTCAACCTGATATGGTGCTTCTTTGATTGTGACTTCTTCTTAGAAGTTTGTGATAGTTGAGATTACCTCTGTGGAGATTGAGATGCTTGATCAACATACTCATGATATGAAAGGTCTCTATAAACATCATATTCTACTCGTTTCTTACCTTTCTTCTTCACTCCTCCAATGGTTTTTATTTTCGTAGGTGGTCGGCAGATTAAAGTCGTTGTGGGGTAAGCAAGTTCATAAACCCTAACTTTTAATGCTCTTTTCCCAACAACATCTATTGATATAAACCTTTTCCACAATTCATATATTGCACTACTCATATCCACCTTTGATCCATCGTCTACATCTACCTATAACTCAACTTCCATACTTAGTTTCCACAAATGAACATGAACACTGTCTATTGGCATCAATATACCACCAAATGGGTATCTTCTAACTCACAAGCACAAGGTAAACCATAAGATGTTCTATGAGTGCAACCGCATATTTTCCTATTAGTTCAAACATAATCAACCCTCGATAACTCTTCAATAATGCGTCTCAAAGCAACTCGAGACACTGAACTACATAGATTACCATAAAATAGACTTATGTATGCATGCTCAACTTCATAATTTTTTTAAAAAGAAGATTGAATGTTGCCTAGTTGTAACTTCAAATTATTATTCATAGCCTCCAAACATTTAACCATGTCACATACACTATTCCTCAATATCTACTTTAACTTCCAATGTGTAGACTCAACCCTAAAAATAATATATAGTAAAAATATTTAAAAAATAATACATAGTAAAAAATAATGCATAGTAAAAAATAATACATGATAAAAATACTAAAAATAGTGCATATTAATTAGTCGTGGTGTTACCTAAATGAAGCACTCAATTAATCCATGCTCCAACAAATCTCTTCCTATGTGGAGTTAACCATGTGTTTTCATATAATCAATAAATTCACTACAATGAACACATGTCTGCTCAAGTTGTTGCAACTGTTGATCATACTCAATCTCATCGCTAGCACGTACAACTTCCATCCATAATGTGTCAATCGTCTTTTGCATGTCATTCACCACAAATTGCTTGCATTTTCACCAACGCTTTTGTTAACGTAAAATCGATATAGAAAATTAATCGTTGTTGGAAACACAACTTCAATTGCTTTCATAAAAGTGTTAGCTGGAAATTTAGACGACCTGAAGTGCTAATGAGATTTGAAAGATGTCTAAGGAAAGCTAGCTCTTAAAGAAATGTGAGGATATTTTATGAAGCTTTTGACTGACAACTCTATGGATGGTTATTCTTGTTAAATATTGAAGATAATCCTATGTTCGTTAATTAATGGGACGAAATATATTTTAAATTTCGAAGATGAATATTTCAACAAGTCACGTTGGTTGATTTGGCGCCACTAAAGGAAGAAGATTTCGAATTCAAATGGTTTGATCTTATCCAAAAGGACGCGTGGAAGTCTGAGGATTTAAAGGGCATGCAAACATCGAACGTGGCATTCTTTTAGAGAAAGACCGTTATGGTCAAACTAGTATAACTTAGAATCTTTGTGTTAGGATTTAGCGTGTTCAAATTATGTACAAATTACACAAATAAAACTCAAAGTACCAAGTGTTGGAGAAATGAGTTGCTGAGAATGTTCGTATGAATTATCATGTTTTATTTAATTGTCAATTTATCTTTACAAAAGTTCTTTTAATTCCTTTTACATTCCAGTAGAAGTCTCTTTATTTTCCTTTTATCATTTCATGTAGTTTTACAATTACCTATTAATTGAGTATTACATTCGAAAAGTTGAGCATTCAAAAGACACAAAACATCAAAAACTAAACATGTGTCCTATGATTAATCTAGTCAATCTTGTAAGTAACTAAAATATCATTGTTTTAGAGGATTAGCGTTTGTTTACCAAATTCCAGGGTAAACAAAAAGCAAGATCTATATCCATTAAAATCACATGTGGACACAAATATTTCTTCACAAACAATTGTTTTAGCTTATTCAACACCCAACAAAAACTCTCTATCTGCTCAAACTCCATATAAGCAAATGCAACAAAAAATGTCAACTCGGTAAATGTCATGCCAATATTTTCAAACTAAAGATGTATATATTTGTTTGTCTTATAAGTGTTGTCCATAACTAACACAATAGGAAAAATATTCAATAGCTTAACTGAATCTGGATGGGCCTAAAAAATATCTCTCACAACTTGAGTTATCTATTTTTCTACTCCAATAAACATTAAATACACACTCTATAAGCTTAAACAAATGTTACATCTCAGTGCTAAGATCTTTTATCTTTTTTGTAACATACTCTAATGCTTTGCGTGATCCGAGTGACATTCTCAGGATCTCGCTCTTGAAAGGAAAGCAATATATGTCCAGGTGAAACATGTCTCTTTGTCAAATCAATAATATGTTGCTTCTCGTCTGTGATCAGTCTACCAACAAAGAAATGCCCTTCTAATCTATCAGGTAAACCATGGTTATGAACTGCACATTTTGCATCAACCTTCCATTCAGACTCATCTTTCGTCAGAGTCGACCTAATTTTGAATGGACATCCATATTTCTTAGTCGCATTTTGTGTTCCATTATTTACATCAGTGTATTTTCCACTTTTATCACAACCAAATATTACTTTATTGCTTCTTCCTCTCTTGCTTGTTTCGGTGTCTGAACGACTGATAATAACACTTACTTTATTTCTGGTTACAACCTCTTTAATCCATCGTATCACCTCTTCTCGTGTATCGAATCTTTGAAAAATTGAGAATGCATCAGATGTATCTACACATATCTGATTTTTATCGCATATTTGTAGCAGAATTTCCTTACTTGACAAAAAAAATAAAAATGCAAAACAAATGGTTAAGAAAAATAGTCCGGTTAAAATCGGATGATATTTGAAGAAAATATTTCAGTACACAATACTTAAAAATTGAAATACATTTATGAAATATTTCAATTTATTAAAATTTTTCATCCAAAACTAAAACTCTTTATTCAAATATTCCGAAAATCATTTCCTTCAAAATCAGATATCTCATTTAAAATATTTCGGTTCATGTAAATACATACTAAAAGTCATTTTTAAAGTTTTTTAGCTCAGATGTATAGGTGTGCAATTTTTAAAAATCTTCAATAAATAGTAAAGAAAAATAAAATAATAAATTAGTTAAAAACGTGCGAGGATAAAATTGACATTTCTTAAAAATGGTTGGCGGTATAATATAGATGTAGGGTATAAGGTAAAGTTTTGAACGAAAAGATAATCTGACACTGATCGAACCAGAACAGAAAGAAAGCGAACGTGATAGAGACAGGGAGACGACGGTGAGCGAAGGAGGAGGAGGAGCTTCTTGCATTCCCATTTGAGATATTTCCATTTCTTATTTAGGTATCATTGTAACAACCCATTTTCTCAAACCCTAAAAGTTTCGAACTGTTTTCGTTCCTTCTTTAGGGACTAAAAGTATGTAGTTTTAATTTATGTACGCAGGTTAATCTTAATTAATTATAAATGGATATAAACGAGAGAGTTAAATCCATAAAGAAGTGCAGTTCCTTTTCAGGCTCAAACAGTACTGGGAGTTGTAATGTGGTTTCAAAGCCGCTTCTCCCTCAAGAAGTAATGTTTAATATCCTTACTTTTGTATCTCTAAATTGCTTGGTAAACTCAGCAAGATATGTTTGCAAAACTTGGGTCTTTACGTTCAAAGTTTTGTGACAGAAATTAGTTCCTATTTCTTGGAATTTGAAAATGATGATGTGAGTGGACAACATGAAAGGGTTGATCTCGGAACACCTGAAGGAATGGGAGATATATTTGCCACTTGTGATGGCATATTGCTTCTATCAAATATTTCTAGACAAGTTTTCGCCGTCAGCCCCATTCTTAAATGTTGGCTTAGAATTCCTCCTTTTCCTAGTTCTCAGCAACTTACACATATAGATCTTAGGTGTCAATGTACTATAGCACGTGTTCATCGCACTTCCAAATTCAAGGTGTTTCTTGTGGGTGTCCTTGAGATTTCGGATGCCACTTGGTATGTTTTCTATGTGCTAACAATTGGAATAGATAACTCATGGAAAGAGATAGCTAGAAGAGAAGCTCCCCTCAACCATTATTTTTTTTGGGAACCAATTTATAGTGGAGGTTGTGAGCTTTACTGGATAACAATGGATGAGGTGATTGTGATTGATGTTGACACGGAAATTATTCTATGTGGATATCCAATTCCCAGTGAGGCGATGCTGGATGGTTCCCTTCCAATATATTTATGGATGGAAAATCGCCTTTCCTGCATTGCCTATAAAGACTTTTCTCAAACATATCAAATCTTTATTTTTGATTTTAATTCAGGCAAATGGCGTTTTTATCATGAGATGGGACCTTTTGATTATGTTGCTGCTTGTGGTCAAGAGCTTCATGTTTTGTTTGTGACATTTCGCTTGTGGATCAACGATCAAATTATCTTCCAAGTAGCTTTAAATCAAAATCCAATTGGAAATATACCTCTGGCTCCTAGCCCGAAAAGCATACATTTTGGTTACAATGTCAAAACCAGACATTTAACCAAAATTGAGGGTGTTGCTGAAGGTAATTTTGAGGTATGGCTTCACACTAACAGTCTAGTTTCATTGCCATGTCCTCCCTCATAGTTATGATCTTCTTCAGCTCATCCAAGTGGTTGACGGCAGCGTGTCACGCTGTTTCTTGAAAACGAATCAACCTATCATGACAACATTTCAATCACAATTTGGTTCTAGCATTAATGAGATGCTTGGAAATGGGGTTATGCTTTCCTATCCTCTATTTTCTCTACCATTTTATCTTTGTATTCTTTCCTTTTGTTGTTCAGTCAGTTGTTGACTGAAAAGTTAGATTTTCTGCTCATGACCGGAAATTCATGAGTTTTGTAGAAAAATTAATGACTTTATATTTTATGTATATTGAGTTACTGTTTTTTTTTTTTTTTACTTAACTGCTTGTGCTAGATTCTGTGTGGATTCATAATTAATACCAGTATTTTAAGTATCCTATTTATACATAAGTAGCTACTTATGATTCTATAATTCATGAGAGATTAGATAAGGCTATGCCATTGTTGTGAACTATATGCTTTGGTGTAAATGCATAAATTAAAGTCTTCATTCCTTGAACTTTCTTTAGATGAATCATGAAAATGTGTTTTTCCATTGAAATCTGGATTTTGTGTTATGAAGGCACTTTCAGGTGCTGCAATTATCAGCAAAATGCTCGGCAAATGTGAAGTAAAATCAAACAGATAATGCTATTTGTTCTGTTCATCCTTGTTTGATTAGTTTCAAAAGCCAAGTAGTTACATAATGAATGTGAGAGAGTGAAACACCATTATATTATCCTCCCTTCTATTTTTAGAATAGTTTTTTTTTTTGTTTATGAACTATATATTTATGATTGGATTTGAATTAAAAAATTCTAGTTATTTTAGAAGATAATATCGTATCTCATTCAAGTGTTTTAAAGTTGTTTCTAAAATAAAGCCAGTTTAGTAAAAGTATATGTATTTGCGTGGATTAAATTAAGAAAAAGATTTTTAACCATTCTTTTAAAAAGGAATAATCTAATAACACTCGATAAATCAAACAATTAGTTATGATCTTACCTGATCAGACTTGGACTGTCACGACTGGCTCGGGCAGAATTTGAGTGAGATGGAGGGTACCTGCAAGACACTCCGATGCTAAAATGAGTGATGGAATGAGCAGGTAAAGAGTGTATGTATGCGTAAGAGATGAATACCTGACCCTCTTGGAACATAGGATATTTATAGCCCCCAGCGCTGGGCCAAGGTTCTCTCACTGGGCCGACTAGAAGTGGCCTAATAAAGGAACTGCCAGGTTCTACGTGTGTAGTGGGGTCCCGCACGTGGTCCCCTTCTTGGTGATGCTCTGCGAAGAATGAGGAAGGACGAAGACGCGACATTTCTGGAGTTTGAATGATTCGATAACGGTTAGGGTGGACAGAATCTGCTCTACGAGGAGAGAGCTCGAGCAGGACTCGAGTTGGGGTTCCTTTGGTCGGGGACACCATGTGTCGCGGGCAATGGCGGGCGTGACTGCAGTCTGTGGTCGGGCACGGTGGCGGAAATCCGCGAACGCACACTCCTCGAGGACCTGCTTGGATTGGGCCTTTATCCCTGCTTTGGGCCAGGGCGGGCCCAGTCCAGAACAGGAGCCCCTCAAGTCGTTGCTCCTGGAGCAGGAGTTATGACTTGACTTCAGCTCGCCTTTACCACGGAGTTTGATGCCCGGACCAGGATATTGCTTCCTCATGCGTGCTCGAGGAGTTTCTCTCGGGTTGCGTTCGTAGCGTAACGCTTGTCGACGCGTGATCGGGGAATTCCTCGCGGGCTGTGTTTGTTGGATACACAAGACAATCCTTGGGAACCGTGACGCCACCCTAGTGACAGTAGGGACATCATTGCCTAGGGGTGTAGATGTCGAGGAAGGGAAGTTCGTGACTCCCCGGAGCGACGTTTCGTATTCCACGTCATCCCTATAAATAGGATCCTTGGATCTCATAATTTGTTTTTCTTCTTCGCGCTTCTCCTCCTTCCTCTGTTTTCGCCGCCGTTGTTTTTCTACAGCATCGCAAGATTACCGCATCTCCCTCCGTTGACTACTTTCATTGTTGCCGTCCATTCTTCTTTTCTTCCAAGTAAGTGTTCATTTCTCCTGTTTTCTTTGTTGTAGGTAGTTTTAACGTTATTTGGATGTTAGAAACCCACATCTGGGAGTAGTGCCCGGTATATTCATGTTTGTGCCCGGTAAACTCATAGCTTTAGGTATATGACTCGCAATGCTGCCCGTGACCTTCATAGTTTTAGGCGCATGATCCATGATACTGCCCGGTAAACCCATAGTTCTAGGCGTAGGATTCATGATATTGCCCGTCACATTCATAGTTTAGGTCGGCGCACCCATGAGCTGGCTGGGACGTTGACCCCTTAGGAAGTATGTGGGACAACTCGTCGTGGCATCTTAGTGTCGGGGAGGCGAAACCAGGATCTTGTTCGAGTCATCAATGTTTATCGCGCGGGATGTTCATGCTATCCTCTTGTTGTTCCCGACGTCTGGTTGAGCGTGTCTGGCTTTTCGTGCACTACTTCCCGTCACTGTGGCGAGCATGCGGATTTGCTCTCGAATTTCACCGGTTTCCTGTGCTTTGCAGGTAAATGGCTGACGAACCGGAGTCTTCGAGGCGTAATGAGGTCGAGGACCAAAGTACCGAAGAGAACGTGACTCTAGTTGATACCGTCGATGATCCTTTGTTGGATTGGGTGGGCGCCGAGCCCCGAGGGATTGCCTCGGCGTATTGTCAGCGTAGTCGGCGCGCATACATTATCGTCGAACACGGCGGTAGTCAACCGGGTTTCCAGAAGAATTTTATTGTGACGAGGCCGTCCCTCGATGCACGAATCTGCTCGGAGTTCACCGAGTATGGGTTTCCAATGTATGAGATCGTGTTCAGGGATCTCGGCCTTAAGCTCCCTTTCAGTGATTTCCAAGTCGGGGTGTTCTGCCATATGGACTTGGCCCCCCCGCAGCTTCATCCTAATTCGATCGCCTTCCTTCGGGCGTTCGAGCTGACATGCCGCTTCTTAAGGATCAAGGCGACCATTCCTCTTTTCTTCAGAGTTTTTCACCTGCAGCGTCAGTCTCGAGGAGGCAGGCATAGCTGGGTTTCCCTGAAACAGTCGAAGAGGTTGTTCAGGATGTACATGGATTCGGTCCGGGGCTTCAAGGACAAGTGGTACGCTCTGCAGCCGGTCACCTAGGTTGCTTTGGATTCTATGTATGAAGAGGAAACCACAGTGGTCGACGAGAACGGGGAGCCCCTTATGGACGCTGAGGGTCGTCCGGCGATGGGGCGTGTATCCAAGTTCCCGTTACATTGGTGCTCGCGCCATTACGAGCATGGTACCGGACATTACCATACGCCCGCGGGAGGAATGAGTGTCGAGGATGAGGAAGCCTATGGTACCCTTTGCAAGTATGTCGACAACTTCTTCCCTGCCCGGTGGGTCACGAAGGAAGGGGAAGATATTCTTGACGAGGAAGGTTACCCGACATTCGAGGCTCGTCCTATCGATACCAAGGCGCTCGTCGAGTGTCAATCCTACGGGCAGGCCGTAGATCTACTAGGTTGCTTTTGTCTTATAGTTTTATTCCAACTTCGTTGTTTGTTACTTGCTCGCAACTAACCCGAGTTTTCTTCTTTGCAGGCGACATGGCTGAACAAAGGGAGAGGCTTCTAAAACTAACTCAGGACAAGAGAGTAAACAGAAGGTTGGTGCAAGCTCCGCAGGCCACAAGGATGGGCCCGCCGACCAGTTCAGGCGACGCTTCCAGCGGGTCCCCGGGCTCCCCTGACATCGAGCAGCCCACTGAGCTGATTACGAGAAAGAGAAGTCGGGCAGATAACCGGTCGGAGGTTGGCGACGAGTCTGTCACTGCGAGGGCCTTCGGCTTACCCCCTGTTTAAAAGAGGAAGATTTCTTCGAGGGGTTTCCCCTGACAGTGAGCACCGAGGAGGCCGAGACCATCAGGCGGCTCAACAAAGAAAGTCGGAGAAAACACCTGGCCGCCAGTATGGTCGGGATGATGAAGATGGCCGAGATGGTCGTTGTCCTTGCTGAGGAAGGGTCGGACTCCTCTGATCGCGTCAGAGAACTGGAGTCGGAGAAAGCTGCCCTCGCTGCCGGCTCTCGTAAGTTGAAGGCTGCTCTCGAGCGATCTGAGGAGATGTTCCGCGAACAAGCCCAGCTGCTGGCCGTGGAGAAGGAAAACTCCGGGAAGGTTGCTGAGGAAAGGGATTGTTTTCGACTGGATAGGGAACGCTTGGAGGCCGACAACGAGTGTTTGTCTAAGGAAGTCGAGGAGCTGAAAGCTGCCATGCTTCCTGCTGAAGATGAGTCGGAGGATACAGCCCCTTTGCAGAGCCGTTCGGATCTGGTCGCGCACATCCATCTCCTCGAAACGGACTGTGTCGGTGCCTTAGCGGACGGGTTTGAGGCCGCGGTTAACCAGCTCGCCATATTGAATCCGGGCATGAATACCGAGGGAGTGGGTTTCATGTCTCAGATCATTGACGGCCAGGTCGTGCCTCCTCCTGAGTCTCCTGTTGTGGATGCTGGTAGTCCCGGGGAAGTTTAGTCGTGGAATTTCTGGTCGGGCCTGCGTGCCCGTTTATTGGTATTTTTTTTGGGGCCTGCATGCCCGTGCATATTTTTGGGGCCTGTGTGCCCGTACATATTTCTTTTGGCCGTTGTGCCATAGCCTGTAATTTTCGAACATCGCCGGCCTTTTTGGTCAGTTTATTTTTATTCGTTTTGCGTATAAGCCTTTAAATGGATGTTCATTTTGATTTTAAAACTTGCTCGTGTTTAAGTTTTTATATTGTGATGAAATTTGTCTAAGTTATGTCCTCGAGCCACGCTTGTGTTCGGCTGTTACCTTGTGGAGAAATTTGCCTAAGTTATGTCCTCGAGTGGAGATCCTTTTGACCCATTTGGTGGTCCGGCGTACTTCGAATGCGTCGGTCGTGCAGAGTGAAGCCCGCTTGCTCGGGCGTATGACCCAAATTAAGGTCGTATGCCTGTGGTGTGAACTGCCCA